ATACATCGGTCACATTAGCCTCTCTTCTAAAGCTGTTCATAATTAAAGCGTGCTGCATGTCGTTGTGCCACCTCAACCTTATTGATGTACTGTATTTAGCCTCGAAGGGATCACATACACTGTACTACTGAAGCGTACTCCAGGTGTGGACCAACGAGAGCTAAATAAGCAGCTGTTTTTGCCATTTTCGAGCACTGCTTTAACTTCCTACGCAACATACCTAGGACCTGGTTAGCCTTCTTGATCATATAATCATAATGGAAATCCCATTTAAATTTGTGGGAGAGGAAGACTCCCAGATACTGGTGATGATCCCTCATTGCCAGGGAATGATTATCCAGTTTATAACTATTGAAAATCTTCTTCCTTTAGTTTCCCATGTGCATGATGTAGCATTGCTTTATATTAAATTGCATTTACCATGTAGAGGCCCTTTCATAGAGTTTAGCCTATCAATATCTTCCTGGAATGCGATGCAGACAGCCCAGTTGTGGAAATTTTTATATCAAATGCAATCGTCAGCAGAAAGACAAATTTCAGACGGAAGATTGTCCGTGATATCGTTGATGTAAAGCAAAAATAAAAGAGGACCGAGGACTGTGCCTTGAGGCACACCGGAACCTGCAGAATCCTAATCAGAACTAGATCCATTGAACACCACTCTTTGTTTACGTATCGAAAGAAAGTTGACAATCCACTTTGAATTTCATACATATGAAGCTTAGCTTTCAGACGCTCATGGAGGTCAGTATCTAATGCTTTGGCGAAGTCAAATATGGCTATGTCCACTTGTTTACCAGCATTTACTGCCTCAGCCCAGTCGTTAGTTGTCAAAACTAGTCCGGTGACACAAGAGTGATGCTTCCTGAAACCATGTTGTTTAGTAGTCAAGGTACCATGCCCTTCCCAGGCTAGGTGTCTACTAATAATATGCCAATGACTTATGTTCAAGAAGCTTGCATGGTATCTTTAAAAGGTTAGAACTTGTGTTGAAAATTTCAGTAATAAAATTTGTCACCCTTTTTTAGATCCTTCATATCCTGGACTCCCTCCATAACATTGTGCGGTCAGGAGTCCACCTGGTCCTGGGCTAGCCCCCACCCCCCCATGAAGGTGTGCATTTGACTGCAACTGGGGACCCCTTATTGTTCCTCTTTTGTTTGTACTTCAACTTTTCAGAAGACCACCATATGTTTTGTACACAGTTGTCAATCGGGGACCCTCTGTCAATCGGGGACCTTATTAAGTTATTGTCCTCTATTGTTCAGGGTCCCCAACTGAATACAGAAACAAATTCAAACACACACACCCCACACACCCCCCACCCAGCTCATTGTAAAAAAAAAAAATTCCAACCACTTACCAGCCATGATTGGTGACAGCTTTGAAGCAGTAAAATAATTCTGACACCAGGTAAGCCTAATCGGCAACAACTTGAATGGTGTGTCACTGAGTTAGGCTATGGATGGCTGCCCCGCTCAACCACAAGACGATATGGCCAACATGACAGCAAACACTGATTGTTATGATGGAAACGCGTGAACAAAAAAATGAACTCCTCCAATGATGTGTAAATTTCCTGCACCTGAAGCACATAAAATCGCACCTTACGAATGCACAAACGTTTCACCAGCAGCAAACACTTCAGTCTGCCAGTAATGGCTGGTTTTGTTTTTTTTAGACGATGCAGACCATGCGGAGAGGTTTCCTGACGATTGACGAAAGCCAAAATCGAAATCAGATGCACTTCGCTATGCAAACTAAAGCAGTACGTAGATTATCTTCAACAACTTGCTTGCTGTTTGTTCCATTGGTATCCGATGATACAGGATACCAGCGAGTTTGCATTGCACGCACACTACCCGCGAGAGGGCGGTATTTACATTTCAAGAGACGATACGCACCACAGACACAGACATAAGACATGAGCACCTGTACGGTGCAGAACCTCACCGGGTTCCAAAATCGAATCATCAAGTATATTTTGCGGAATGCTCATGATTTCAATCTGTGTAAATGTACCTAGGGGTAGTGTCATAGTTACAGGGGAAACCCCTCTGCATCTTCATGTCTTAATTCAAAAGAGCAAATACAGTGTGTCTAAAAATTCAAGCAAAATAATTATACCCAGAATACCAGACTATGGTTGGAAAGACGCGGCGTGTTTTTAAAGACATCAAACGTCCAAATGTGATTGTTTCTGACAGAATTATGAGACATTAAACTGACCATGGGACCAAGATTTTATTTCAAGGCATTCGGACAACGGCAGCCTACTCGCCTCTGACCAACAAAAATGAGTTTAGCGAGTAAACACAAATCTAAACACTTCCTTGTAATCAATTTGTTAACATGCTTACATACTGATTATAACATAAGGACGGGTAGAGTTAAATTAAGCAATTGACACAGACCTTCACAACGTTTTGTTTACATGTGTGCTTTCCTCATAGAGCCACTCATGGATCACGTCACACCTCATCGCCATAGGAGAGCGCACATGCATGTAAATAAAGCGTAACCTTATTTTTGCTACAGGTCTATTGATGCTTAAGAAAGAGGAGACGCCTTTAGCTGGTAATACGTTTACAAACTGATAACAACAAAAGGGTTCAGTCGCTCATGTAATTGGTCAAATTAACCTGTGCAGCTGTGTAATATCTATTAGTAAGCGTCAGACATAGAATAGATCATGGTCGGTGTTCAGCTTGAATTAAGTACCGAGCAGAGAGTTTTAGATGTCACGCCTACATCCATGCGTACCGAAAGAATAAAATTATTTCATTGAAGTTATAAATGCATCGATGCAGCGATTCGCATATCGACATCCACCTGCAGTCAGCATTATCTGGAGAAACCTCCAAAATTACAGGAGGGTAATCGAGGAATTTCCGGGCGTTTTTTTTAGTTACACTGGGGAAACTCGACTTGAATAAAGACCATAATCGTGGCTCTCGAGGAAAGGCTTTTTTCAAAGGGAAGTTATCTGCAACATTTCTTTAACATGGAAAGCTTCCAAGTGGAATAAAGACTAGGCTCCCCTCGAGACTGGTAACAAAAATTATTTTTCCATAAGAAAGTACGTAGTATCACGCATTCCAGGCGATGTTGGACAAAAGGTAGGTGGTAAGCATCGAGTGGTGGAGACGCCGCAAGATGCCGGCCAACTCAGTGCAATACAGGATGGCACTGGGCATACCATGTGCCACATTTAATCGCATTACTCGCGATCGGCTGGTCCTGGGCATACAACCCCACCAAAACCATGCGAGTGCGACGTCGTCTGCAAACACCAGATATGCCATGACGGATTGATTTGCCAAGACTGATGAATTTGCCAAGAGGGATGATTTTTACCAGGCAGACGTGCGTGCGGTTCGTCCTTCATTACGTTATCAGCGGTAAAGCAGGATTTTTTCTCGACAAAAAACTTAACTCAAGCAATTCTCGAGAGTACCCGTCCCCCATATAACATACGTTATTAGGCGCAACTTCTAACGTGAGAAAGTCAGTGTCAGCCTAGATAGAGTTGTCCTGCCGTGCGGCAGTGGCTTACTCATCGGGCTGGACCTGAGTGGCTGGTGTTATCATGTGATGTTAAATGATGATGTCATTTCCGATCTCATCCTTGAAAAAAAAAACTAGAGATTTGGGAGCAAGGTGTGTTAAGGTGCTTGTACTGGGTTGGCTCATGGTCCATACATGTAGTTTATGCCCACCTCTTAGAATCATTGGAGACTGCGTCATAGCGTTGAGTCATCTGCATGAATGGCTATGGAGATCACAGACCTCACCCCCGTCCGATTTCCATCTCTTGGGATATTCACCATGGAGACACACGTGTGGACTTTGAAGCCAAAAAGTGGGTTTTTCGAGATAATCGCAAGAGTGTTTAAAACCAAAAATGTTTTGCAGAAAAAAAAATAGCAGGACAACTTTCGAATGATTCTTTAAGAGGTAAACTTATACATGAACCCAATAGTTAGAAATGAAAACATATGTCGATTACACTCAACGTTTTGCACTCCGTTATAATTTTTTTTTTCATTTTTAGAAACACACTGTAAAGTACAACACGCACTTCCCACTTGCTCCAGGTCCTTCGAAATTTCACGACTTTTGTCACAAGCACGTCGTCGCGTCGAAATTGTGAATTTCTGTGCATCATTCATGCAGGTTGCTGTGTTGCGCACCCCGTGAAGATTTTTTAAGAGTTTCATAAAATTTCACCGTCAGTCTTAAAACCATTAATTTTCTCTCGAAGTAACTGCACAACGCAAAGTGGAGCTGAGTCAACAACCCGCCGGTTGCCCGGTGTGGCCACGGTGCAGGGAGCCCAAGAGAATTTTAAGTTACTGAGTGCAAAACTTTTGTCAACCGTTAACTGGACTGGGCTCATGACAAGACGCGCCAGTGAAACGCAGCTTTGGTGAAGTTCTCACCACTCTACCCAATTAGCGACCAGACATCATACTCTAAAAGCATAATTACCCAGTGGTGATGATAATGACCTGATCACGCCAATGTTGCATTTACCGCGTACCGCGCCGTGGCGCTGGCATGAATGTTATGGAAAATATCAACACATTGAGGGCGCTGTAACAGTGTAAGGGTGATGTTCATATCGAGAGGTGTAACCACACGATGCACACCGAATTTGGGATGTATTATTTATATACGTAGGTGTTTGCTTGATTAGGAACACAGGCTAATAATGTACATCTTGACGACGACGACTTCATGTCGTTTTGACATATGTCTGGTAAACAGCTGTGTAACTCTTAATCCTTGTTTCCATTTTGTTCAGTGTCTTTACATTAGACTAAACAAAGTAGGCAGGTACATAACATGTAATGATGTACATGTATGTACATGATATAGGCCTATGCATACATGTACATAGGGCGAGACCCGTAAACAGGGCCCAATAAATACGATGCAGGAGTATTCGAATACGACGGAGAAGTATTTGTTGGGCCCTGTTTACAGGTCTAACATAGGACCTACTTGCTAGCCCAGGTTGGACTTCGTCTTAGTTCTTTAGGGCTACATGTACATTGCTTTGCCAAGTGACAAAGTATTAAAGTGGTGTAATGAAGACAACGTCCAACCCGGGCTAGCATACCGGTACATACATAGGCCCACAAACTAAAGACTAGGCCTCCATTATATATAATTAACCATTGTCTAGAGCAAGGACATAACCAAGCCCAAGGTCTGGAATTAAACCTTTTTCGTGTTTCATGTGTGCATGCTCTGAAGATTTAACAGAGGGGAACAAACTCACGACAACAACGTTGCGTAACGTTTGGTGAATGGATGCTCGCGAATGTTGTTGTTGTAAACAATTGGTTTCCCTCTACATTGTAGCTTTGTTCACTTTAACGTGGGGCTGCTAAAATGGTTTGCCCTGTGCACAATATCAAAATGTACATGTAGCTCCTGAAATTTGGGCTGGTAGATCTATTGGGCATGTTGGGGCTGATCTGTTGTCATTTTGACCTGTCATTTACCATTTATTAAAGCAAAGCTGGTGAGCGCTATGAGCACTCGGCTACCAATAGGCATGTACATGTAGCCTAGGATGCTTGATGTTGAGTGTGAGTAAACATGCCCCTGAAGGGGTCTTACTAATATCAACATCACCATCAACACATGATAGTAACGTCAACACACCGTCAACACATCCAGCGTACAGTATAATTCAGCTAAAGTGACATAGAACGATACTATGTACATGTATTTGGGCTAAACAAGAATTTCCATTGGTTTGAGGTTACATTCCAATTTTGAAAATGGAGTAGGCACTGGTAAGGACGTATTTTCACACGAAAAGTTTATCTCTAAGCAGCGTAGCCGTTGACGGTCATTTTGCCTTCTAACAGAACTTAGGCCGTACCATGTCTTTCAGAGGTGTTGACAGTATGTTGACGGTGCAGCGTGTTGATGGTCACTATCACAGTCATTTGAACACAGGTTTTCTTCCCAACCAAGTTGTTCTCAGAAATCATAGAGTGTCTGGGAAAGAGCGGATAACACTTGATGTCCCTTTGGTCTTTGCACAAACTTATGACACTTGTCAGAAAAACTATTGTCTGAGTAATGCTTCAGAATTTTCTGAGCTAATTTTTTCTTTTTAGGACACATGTGTTCTTTCTGATTGCTGTTGTAACATTTTCAGAAAAAAATTATTGTCCGCATGTGGAAGGTTTTCTTGTGTCTGTTCTATTTTGGTCACAAAACATTTCCCAATGGCTGTTTTTTTACAATATCAATGCTTAAGAGGTTTTATTACAGCTCGGAGATCATTTTCTAGTTTGGACAACTGTTTATTGACTTTCACTTCTCTTTTTTCCCTCATCCATAGGACTTCAGATCAGATGACAATCAGGAAGCCAACGCATTCTGTTACAGTTTCAGTGAACTCATACCAAAAGCTTTACTGCGACACGATGAGCACATTGTGAAAGAACTGTACGTGTTGTGAGTTTAGTTCTTACGTTGCTAAACACCCACGGAGACGGTGTGCATGGTGTGCAGTTGTTGACAGGCACTCATTTCTGAACGGGGAGTGGCAAGTGCGGATGCATGTAGCATTTGACTGGTCCAAAAATGGGGTGAGTTTTACAATTATAATTTTTGTATGTCCTGAGGTTTTTGAGGAACTTGTTCTTGTTTGTAATGGCAGGCAGAGGAGCAAATGAAAGCTACCCGGATGGAGAAAATTAGCTTGGGTTTGCAAATGTATCCGACGAGAATCGGGCTGTACATGTAACATTT